GTAGCAGTAGCAGTGGCTGTGGCAGTAGCAATAGCAGAAGTAGCTGTCGTCGTCGTCCTCGTCTTCGCAGTAGCAGTAGTAGTATTTGAAGCCCTACGGACAACTACTTCCACAAAACGTGATCAGAAGCATCACCGGAACCGGCTTCTGCAGCCTCTTGAAGTCAGGGACAGCTGTCCCCAAACCTCGAATCCTAAAACCTATTGCCTAAATCCTGGACCCTTAAGGCTGTGAGATCTCTTGAGGCATGCTGCGGTCGCGACGGCATCCAGCTTCTCACAAGAAGGAGGAAACAGTGACCTGGCCCAGTTTTACCCTTTTACATATGTTGAGGATTTTACCCTTCTGTATTGGGTTGAGGGTTGTTTTTTTTAGCCCCGTTTGTTTTAAGGTCTAGGCCTCTATATTCAATTTGACGGGTGGGAAGAAAGGATGGCGGTGGCGAACCTCTGGAAAACCCCACATTTTGGGGTCGAATGGGGCCTGAGCGCTTAGGAGTTGAAATGATCTAGGGGTTTAGGGGCTAGGGGTTTGGGGTTTCCTAAGCCCTAGATTTCTCGGGGATCCTTACTATGATTTCTTTATTGATCGCTAGCAATCTGAAGAAGGGTTTTCGCTTATATTAAAGTGTACAGGAATATTAAGAAACTCTAAGAATAGTATCGAGCATTTTTCGCGTCACATTATGTCCGCGGGGCCTGCGGAGGATGAAAGGTTCCACACGGATTTTGTGGTTATAGAGTTCCAGTCAATTCTTGTCGGCAAGTTATACGGCTTTCAGCAGTTCAGTGCTTAAGATTTCGATGACTCAGTTTACACGGTTGTAGGCGTTAGGATTTGCATGTTTGGCGTTTAAGGCTAAGAGTTCAAGGTCTAAGAGCTGGGGATCAGGGAGTCCAGGAGTTGGATCCCTGCACATACGCAGCAAGCCTCTCTAGCCTCGTATAGAGCAGCTGGGTCTCGAGTTGCCGCATTACGGACATAGCTGAAGGCACTTTTCAGAGCAATGGATGAGATGTATTATGTGTCTGCAATCATTGATATTATATATGTATGTATGTGTGTATGT